CTGACCTTCAAATTCTAACTTTAATTGTGAAAAAAACTGTAGAGATAAAAACAAAAATTACTAAAAAATAAAATTAAGTAAATGCATTTAAAAACCTTATCTTGCTACATTTGTTGCAATGATTAGAAGTAGAGTTAGCCACAGAAGTTTGCAATCATGAAGTACCTTTAAGTTGAAGGCCATTCCTTTTATTGCCCTAGTTTATTACTATTTTCTACCATAATAGAGTTCACATTTTGTGTCTTATAATAGGAGCTCTGGTGGCATAGTGCATAAGGCTAACCAGAAGGCTGGTGGTTCAAACCCACCAGCCACTCCTTGGAAGGAAGATTGGGCATTCTGTAGTGATACTGTGTCAGAAAACCAAGGAAGCGTTGTTATAAATTGGATCTGACTCAACTGCAATGAGTAGGTTTTTAATGGCAGTAATACGATGGATTGAAATTACCACTGGTCAAACAACTCTCTGCTCTTAAAATGATGCACACAGGATTTGCTCTAGGACTTTCTACCTCTCACTTTGAAACTCAAAAAACAAATCTGCCTTATGTGTCAAAACATATATAATTCTAAATGTGCTTGTCCAATAATAAAATATTTATTTTTAAGCTCATTTTTTATATGATATAATTGTTGAATCTGATTGCATCCACAGTTAAGAAAAAATAAAGTAGACATAGAGACTCTAATGATTTTTTTCTATGTCTAATAAGTAAATTCGTTCCATCAGTAAAGCCTTTTAGAGATATAGCAGTAGTAAGTTTTTACTAGGTATTTGGTGTTTTATTTCTTTTAAAGTATTAATGGTCATATAACATACACCCAAGACATTCATGAAGCCCACTTTAGTTACTTAAGTTCACTTGAAATAAGAATAGCACACAAATCATCATGTTTCAGAATTTAGTTTAATGTTTAGTTACTGTGCATATGTGGGAGGTGCCCAGCATTTTTATTTTCTTTTTCTGGCACTCTATGTTTAGAATTTCATGCAAATAATCATTGCTAGCTTTCTGTGAAACATTCAGGGTAATGGGAAACTGTCACAATAATGGAAAATTTGCAAACCTCTCTGAATGCTTTTATGCTATATTTAATTTTAGTAATTCCAAGAATCATTTTGTCATCATCTCCAATATTCTGCCCAGATTAAATCTACGTGTCTTTTGCCACTTATTTCATATTGTTGTTCCCTCCCCACCTCATTTCATATGTTCAAGTAGTGCTTTATTTTTCATATCTGACTTTACCTATATAATTCAAGATGATTAACTCCACAGCTTCTGTTGGTGTTATTCAGTCACAAGCAATAACTGTACAGCCTTCTACAAGTTCAAACAAAAAAGACCCAGAGCAATCCTTATTCTGTTTTTATTTTCTGCTTTAAATAAAATAATAAAGTGGTGCATGTACATATCATTATCTTATAAAAGAGGTAAACACTCTATTCAATGTAAAAGGATATTCTGTTCTTTATGTATTTTATCTTCTGCAACATATACTGGAGAAAATACAGTTTCTGAGGCAGTCTTTTCAACCTCAGAACCCCTGTGGGGGTTGCTGTGAGTCAGAATTGACTCAATGGCACTGTGTTTGGGTTTTTAGTTTGTTTGTTTGTTTTATAGTGGTAATTGTTACAGGAGCAGATACCAGGTTTTCTCCCACTGCTAGTGAGTCCAAACCTTTTGTTTAACAACTGAGTACTTAACTATTTTGTCACATGGGCTATTCTTTATTCTCAGAGTAGTACTTTCTCAAGTTAATGATTTCATCTTTAACTAAACAGAAATTACAGAGTTTATTAGACAATTAATCTTCCAAGAATGAGCATTGTTTTGTTTTGTTCTTCTCTGGTAAATATTTTTTCACTTTTGTGGGATTTAGCAAAAGTAACTCTGCAGTCTACAATTAAGTACCTTTAGTGAATGTATATTAAATGTTCACTGTATACATATATATGTATATATATATATATATTTCAAAATATGTATTTATATATATATATATGTATATATATATGTGTGTTTGTTTAAGAAACATATTTGGAATATAATGGCTTCTTAATGTGCCATTATAGCGCACATCTATGGACTTTAAAAAAAACTGATGATTATG